ACGTTATATACTTGTAGAACAACTATCTCCATCCAGCTAAAAATTCCCACTTTGGAAAGCCCACTCAACACTGAGCCCTCCAACAGTAACGGTTACGCCAATAAGGCCCCTGCAGTCTCCTGGGCCAGAAGCGACAAATACAGAGCCAATGCATCCGCTGCCCACCTTAAAAATGTATTCCAGGCAAACCCAGCCACAAACGTGCGTAATATAAGATCGCAAACTGAAGACGACTTTCCTATTGCCGAACCAATTGTATTTCGACCATGCGAAGTCATAAAAATTATAAAAGAGCAGCTACAACCGAGAAAATCTCCAGGCTGCTATCTAATAACTTCAAAAATGCTTATAAAGCTCCCACTATGCGCTGCTGGTACCAGGGCCGTAGCTAGCATGGGGCAGGTGGGGCGGTGCCCCAGGGCCCCCGAAGGGAAGGGGCCCCGCCGGGGCTTCCTTTTTTAGTTCTGAAAAAGCCTTACCATGCCTTTCGGACTTTCTGAATGGGCTTTAAATGGATCACAATAATCTAACAAAATAAAAAAATTCTAAATTTTTTACAGTTTTATTAGATAATGTACAAAACTACATGTTTTCGCTTTATTTCAACATACATATCTCAGTATCTCATTTGGTAAATACCATTAAAAACGCCGCTTTCTCGCTTTGCAAGCCGCAAATTCGTCGATCGCTTGGCTGAAATCGATCTTTCTTATGAATAAAATTTGACAAAAGACTCCCGTATAGGGGGCCCCAAATTTACTTGTTGCCCCAGGGCCCCCGAGGCTCTAGCTACGGCCCTGGCTGGTACTATATTCCAGCATGACAAGACTGGATTGCTTCTTAAGAGGTGAAAAAAGTCAATCATCATAATGATACCAAAACCAGGAAAATACCACACGCTCACCTCCTCATACAGACCGATAAGTTTACTTTCTTGTCTATCAAAACTCTTTGAAAAATGCCTTCTAACCCGTATCACACCATTCATCAGAAGACATAATATTATCCCAGCACATCTATTCGGCTTTCGAAAAAAAAAATGGATCTATCAAACAGGTGAACCGCGTAACATCAGAAATTCGAGGTGCATTTGAAAATAGGGAATACTGCACTGCGGTATTTTTGGACGTCTCTCAAACATTCGACAGAGTATGACTTTACGGCCTAATAAAATAAAAATATTGTTCCCTAATAACACGCATAAACTCTTGAAGTCATATCTTCCATTTCAGCTGAACAAAACATCGAAGCTAGAGTTCCTCATTTTCCTACGAGCCGACAACTGACTATGACTATATTATTTTCGTTGTTTCCCGCTTCTAAATAATTATTTGATAATAATAATTATTAAATTATTTTTTTCAAACAAATTTTATAATATATTAAATTAAAAGTTATTATTTTTTTAGGTTTAATTTGAAAATTTCATTTCACTTGGTCTGGTTATTAATTTATTTTAATTAATTTGTTTTGATAATTTAATTCAAAATGAGCCAAGAAAAGCCAAAAAGTAATACTCTTGAAGGCTTAAAAACCAAGTTAAGAAGTCGAGTGAAGATCATTCTCCGATTGAAAGATCGACTCGATTCTGACTTGATTGCCATTTAAGAAGAAGAATTAAAAATGATACATACTTAGGGGTGTCGGTGGACCAGCAGGTAGAGCGCTGGTCTCCGAACCGGACGTCCCGGGTTCGATTCCCAGGCTCCCCGAGAAAAAGAAACGGCTTTTTTTTCCAAATCTCTATCATTTTATGCTCTATCGCACACTTAACAATAGTAACAAATTTCGGCTCCCCGGAGCCGCACACCCCCTCGTCCACGTTACTATGGACACAATAATAGAACTCTCGCCACCCCACCGCTAGGATAAGTTGATACTCGCCAGTAAGATCGAAAACCAAAGATTAATGAATCCTCTACAAAAATTGTAGAGGCCCTATGCTCCCGATGGAGTGAAGAAAGCAATAAATAGGGCAAATCAATTGCAATAAGAAATAAATAATGGCGATGAATTTAGAGATGAGTTGGAAGAACTATCAATTGTAACCAAGTTAAAATTAATGCCGCTTTTATCGGCAAGCGATATTAAAATTTCAGGATCAGCTTCTGTATCCCCAACTTGTTCACTCTTCCGAAAATGACGCATCCCTAAGAAGCCTTATCGATACCGTTTCATCAATTTATGGATCGTTTTCATCGATAGGAGATGATACAAAAATATCCAATGCAATGTTGATTTATCTCGTCTTGAACAGAGTAGACCCTGTGACTAAACAAAAATGGGAAGAACAGTTCGATTATGAAGCTTTGCCGCTTTGGTCTGATTGTGAAAAGATGTTGAATCGCCGATATTAGCATTTATCTACTGAGGAAACATCAAAGCCAAAGCATTTTTTTTTTTACGGAGAATCTTTCTCTCGAACACTCCAAGAACGGCTGTATCGGATTGCTCCACTGTCTAGCACTCCTCACCATATAAGAGTACTGGAAGAATGAGCGTCTTATAGAGTGTTATTTCGCCTGTCAAGAGAGAGCTCTACTGTTGAAATGCCTCCTGAGCCCAAAGTAACACCTGTTGGCAAGTGTGACTCTCCGCTTAATCTCCGGCTGACATCATTTGTGCTAGTTATAGCAGTGCCAAGGTAAATGAATTCCTTGACGGACTCAAAACTATAGCTGTCTACAGTCAGCTGAGAATCAAGACGCCGCGATTCTCTGCTTGAGCACACCATAAACTTTGCCTTGTCCGTGTTCACTGCTAGTCTGCTACTTTAGTCGACTCTTTTTCAATAGCCCCAAAAGCTGCTGTAACATCACGCTTGGTTCGGCCAATGATATCAATATCACAACGTAACCAAGGAGTTGGACACAACTGTTTGTCAGAACCGATTGCATCTTGATTTCGGCATGGCTTGGGATCGGTACATCTACATCAGTACCGTAGATTGGGGTTTGTGGATCATAATCATAGCCATTGCAAGAGCCAGAGCCAACTTGCAGTGTTCTTCGGTAGGCGGCGTCTTTTGCAGCTCTTGCGTCACGACACTCCTGGTCCTACCATGGATTCCTTGTTGGGGTGCGCTGGAATCCAATGACTTCTTCTGCGGAAGTTCGAAGGGAGTAGGATATGAGCGCCCACTGATCGCTGATGTCTTCAGGTGTTGGAGTTGTTCCGATGTCCAGCCTTCTCAACAGTCCTCGACGTGCAACCTTCGCAACACATAACCGTGTGCGAATCTTAGCTGCAACAAGATAATGGTCGGAGTCGATGTTGGGACCCCGACAGGATCGCACTAGATGCATGCCTTGCATCGATCACAACATGATCGATCTGATTTCTGGTCAGTCGATCGGGAGAGAGCCAAGATTCCTTATGTATGTCCAAATGAAGGAACCCAGTACTACGAACTACCATATTATGCGCTGCAGCAAAGCCTATTAATCTGAGACCATTGCTCGAGGTGGTCTGTCTTCTCGCCCTACCTTGGCATTAAAGTCCTCAAGGAGGATTTTAATGTCATGAGAAGGGCAGCGGGCGTTAGCCCGGTCGAGCTCCGCATAAAAAGTATCCTTGGTGACATCGTCCTTTTTTTCGGTTGGAGCGTGCGCGCATATCAGGCTGATGTTGAAGGATTTAGAAGTAATTCGGATCGTTGCAAGTTTCTCGTTTATTGGCAGTGAAAGACTCGGCGCCGCAGTCAGGCGCCAACAACGAAGCCACAGCCGAGTTCATGCCTCTTTCGTTGGCAGCTGTAGTAAATGTCCCAGTCCTTCTTCTTAATACAACCTTGTCCTATCCATCGCATTTGCTGGATAGTAGCGATATCAGCCTTACATTTTCTGAGGGTATCTGCTAGTTGTTGAGCAGCACCTGGTCTGTACAATGTTCGTACATTCCAAGTGCATACTCTCAAATCATTGTCCCTATTTCGTTTGCCATGGTCGTAAACGTTTAATCGGTCCCGTTCCGAGGCTCATTCTGCTTCTTTCATTGAAATGTTATTATTCCATCGGCGAGCCGAAGCTTATATACCCTTGCAGTAATCAAATATGTCGCACCAATTACATAAAGGCTAAGCTACACAGCTTCGAGTGTCGATTTTTTTTATGAAGTTTCAGTATTTTCGACGATTGTTCATATAAAAACTTTAACTGTTGGTCCGGTCGAAAATTTTTTTCGTTTGGGGGGAGTCCGATCGAAATTTTTTTCGTTCAAGGGGGTCCGATCAAAAATTTTTTCGTTTGGGAGGGTCCGATCAAAATAATTTTTAGTTTATATGGTTGAAAGGCCGTATGCTGTAAGGGAATTTGAAAAAAGTCTGAGATTTTTTGGGGGGGGGTCCGGACCCCCGGACACCCCCTGCGTCCGCCCCTGGTACTTACAATTGGATCTTCTTTACAAAGTTCGAAAAAGTCGGTATTACCTTCGATTGATTGTTTATATATGTTAGTTCATGGGTATCTCAATATGTATTCGTTGATGCTTTATGAAATGGCATCATGTGTAGGAAATTCCAGAAGTTTCAACTGTATAGAAAACTTTGATAACATCAAATCTAATTTTTATGCCTTTTCAGTGTTACTGTATCTTGACTTCTGTTTTAGCAGCCAAAAAAGATTTAAAAGATTTTACTGGACCCTAGATTTTTGAGCCCAACGTTAACAACAGCCTCAAAAGCTCGCCTTTTCTGGTACTCTTCCCCTAAATTTTGGGTTATCATCTATTCCCTTAATACCATGTCTCTGAAATTGTGGGCCAACTTTTATGTATTTTTTATATATATATTTTCAAGGATGTAAAAACCATCATAACATATAGTTTAACATTCTTGCATTAACTGCGTCGCTTTAAAATTTGTTAGGATAATAGATCTAAAAAAGTTGCTTTCTTAAAGAGCGGACTTCTATATCATATAGCTGCGATAGAAAAAATCTTAATTAACTGAAAGGTATATAAGTGTAAGGTATAAAAGTATAAATTTAAAAAAAAATGAAGTGTACATATTTTCAAGATTTATTTTTTCGAGTTAATTATCCCCCTACGATGATGTGTAATAATACAGCCAGTAGGTGTATATTATGTGAGACCAAAAGATAGCAATTGGGTAAAAGCTCACCCAATTAAATTTGTTCGCGCTTTAGGTTAACATGTTATTGTGATTTCTCAAGCTTAGGACAGGAAAGAGCCTATAAACGGGGATTGCGGCAGTTTAATACAAATTGGTCTTTTTCATGATTCGCAAAAACTCCTCTTGGTTAACCTCGCCGTCATTATCCAAATCAGCCTCGTCGATCATTTCGCGCAACTCGTCGTCTGTTAGCGTTTCGCCCAGTTCGCGGGCCACCCTCTTCAGGTTTTTGAAGGAAATTTTTCCCGTCTCATCGTCATCAAAAAGTCGAAAGGCCTTAAGTATCTCCTCCTTGCTGTCTTTTTCGGCCATCTTTACAGTCATTAGGTGCAAGAAGTCGGTAAACGCAATCCGTCCACTGCCGTCCTTGTCTATCTCGGCAACCATACGCTTGATCTCCTCCTTTTTGGGCTCAAACCCTAGAGCCCTGATGGCTACCTTTAATTCCTTGACTTCGATGAAGCCAGTGCATTCGTTGTCAAACAAATCAAAGGCCTCCTTTATGTCTGATTTTTGCGCCTCCGACAGCTCGAACTTTGGTCCAGACTTTTTTCGACCTTGTGTGGCCCGCTTGGCGTTTGCGGGAACTGAAGGAATGATCGATACGCTGGTCACAGCAGGGGCGGGATCCATGTCTGCCGAATATTAGCTGATTAGTTTGGCAGCTGTTTGGAATCTGAAGGATCAATGCAAAATACGTTTTTTTACCTTCTGTAAACAATTTTATAACTCACGCAATGCTAAGTTAAGTTGTTGAGTGGTTTGGCGCCTATAAAATTATAGGTCCCGTAATAAATTAGTTATTCGCTTTTAAGTTTACTGTATTATAACGGTGGACTGAATAAACAAATAACCAGTGTGACCGCTCCAAACAGGATAATAAATACCACCGGGCTAAAAAAAATATACCATTTATGCTATTACAGCTTTGAGAAATATTACTTACATACCAATAGCAAACATATTATTTTACTTTAAAAAATTATTATGCCAATTACTGATTGCACATAGTTGCGAAGTTGCGATACTCACGGTACTTTTGGCCGAAGACGGACACTTAAGTTCATTTATACACTGAAGTATTTTAGATGATTTTTTTAAAATTAAATTAGTGGAAAACTGTTGTTTTTAGAAAAATACTGGATATTTTTTTTTAGAAACCTCAAATCATCAAATATATGATACAGTAGAAACCGGTTATAGCGACTTTCAAGGGACCGACGATTTTTCGTCGTTATACCCAGAAGACGCACCAAGCAAACATTTTTTTTGTTTATTTATGGTTGCCGTCTTGGTAATAGGTTTTTAAAATAATTCAAATTAGTTTTTTATTTAAACCGAAAAAATTAAAAAAATTTAATTTAAAAGCATGGGTTTCTCATAATACTAAAAACTGAGTGAGCTTTTTATTGCATATTTTGCATTTGCCGAATTTACGCTTTTAGTTTTACTCGGAAAAGAGCAAAAATAACTTGAAATATAACGGGACATCTCATGGAATAGGCAATGAGGACTGCATACGCAGTGTGACGTCGGCATTGCACTTCGACTCTCTCTTTCTCGCAGCAGCGTAGTTAAGGCGACAGCTAAAACTAACAGAGAGTAGTGACAGTGTAACCCAGCGGGAAAAAAGATGTGGAAGATATGCTATTTTCCAGAGATTTCTTCATACAAGCGGAAGGGCAAAAACATCCTTCACCCCTTACATTTTTGCCGTCTCTCCTTTCAAAATACACGGGGGTGACACACAAAAGGAAGGGGTAAAGGAGGTTTCTATGTAAAAATCCACAGGTTTCAGAAACCCACCCTTATTTAGCGGACCGAAATTTTCAACTCCTACCCCTACGCCTGCTAAAAGAAGCAGGATTTCCAGTAGACTTAAAACCGAAAACCTACTTCTAAAAACCTACTTCTCACTTTCCCGCTGGGAAGGTCCTTCGTGTCGCTGCTACGCACACAAGCAAAGGTGCCGATCACTAATAAATACATACATTTCTAACAGCGTGTTTTGATGCTTAAATTTAGCACTATTGCAAAGTATTTTTTTTTTGCACGACACAATATCCGGCTAAATTTTTGAATTTTCTTGAAAAATTTCGTTCGTATAAGCGGATTGTCGCTAAAAGCGGAGACGCTCTATGCGGAGGCCCTTTCATATAAGTTTGTATGGGGATCAACCAAACCATCGAGTTTTCGTCGCACAACCCGGACGGACACTATAAGCGGAGTCGTTATAACAGGATTCTACTGTATATGCTTTTTTAGCTTCCCTAACAGCTCTTTTTAGTTTATCGTTGCCTTTTTTGTACTCGATGATGTTGTAGTTGTTTATTTCCCTTTTCCATTTATTCCATTTATTGGATTTATTCTTTTTAAGGAGTGTTAGTTTTTGTTCCACCAGGGAACAGCACGTTTGAGGGAAAAGGTGAAATTTTGTGGGATGGAAAAGTGGGCAATTTCGATTATTTTTTTTTTTTTATGAGGGCTGCTTCCCGATTAACGTTTGAACTTGGTTGGAATTGAATAGGGGTGTTTAGCTTGGAAACTGTGTCCCTGTAGAGGTCCCAGTCCGCAGCTTGTAGTTTGAATGTATGGAGAAGTATGGTTGTTGAACATGGAAGTTAGTATAGGGAAATGATCACTGCCATAGAGGTCGTCCAACACTTTCCAATGGATTTCTGGGGCTATGTATGCTGAGGCAAATGATATTTCTATGTGTGCAAAGGTCATATGGGTGGAAAAATGTGTGGGGGATTTATCGTTAAGTAGAATGTAGTCTGATTTGTCTATGTAGTCGGCTATTGTTTATCCTTTACTGTTTTGCTTTGGTGAGCCCGAGTTGGGGTGCCAACTGTTAAAGTCACCCAGCACTAGTGTGTGGGTGTTTTGAAAGTCGAGGTTGTTTTCTAGATTTATAGAAGTAAAAGGTTTGGAAGGTGATATGTAGGCAGAGTTTGATTTTAGAGTGAATGTTTACTCTGACTGTTTCGAAGTCTGAGTTTAGGGATATTTGGTTTTGGGTGATGGAATTGTGTATTAGGAGGGCAGTGCCGCCGAAGCTTTTGCTGTTGTTGACGCTGGTATAAAGTGAGAAGTTGCTCGGGATGGGAAGTGAGGAGAGGTTTGATAGATGGGTTTCTTGTTGTGCTCTAATGTGTGGGTTTTGTTATTTAATTAACATTTGAAGTTCAGTATAATTGTTTCTATAGCCGTGAATATTCAATTGGATGATTTTTAGCATTTAGATTTAAATAAAGATTTTATTTAGAGGCTAGTTTTGTGTTTTCCAATCGTTATGCTGTTGGTTGATTCTGTGTTAATTAAAGACTTAATCTTAATTATATCTAGTTAGACTTGAGCTTTGATTATTCTTTTTAAGTAGTTTTTTTTTTTCCTTTTTTTGATAAATTTATTGGGTGGTATTTGGGGTAGACTTAACCGTAGTGTTGTGTTCCGAGCTGGTGGAGGTAGTAGACACCGCGCCGAGTTCTTCATATTGAATAGGTGTTCGCATGCTTTGCGTACTTTGACTCTCTCATATCTAATGTTAACGTTTTCTGGGAGGTTTGGCAGCGAGTAAGTCAGAATGATTAGTCCAGTTTCGGTCGTATGACCACAGGAATACTTAGTAATTTTTTTCACTTCTGTGACCTTGTGTGCTTGTAGGTTGTCCAAAATTTCAGCTTCTTCGATACCTCTAAGATCATTGCTGTTTATGACACCTTTGCAGGCATTTAGAGATCTGTTTTCGGTGACTTTAATGGGAATGTTGCTGGGCATTGAGGTGAGTTTGTGCGTTTGGGTTTGATTTTTTGTTTTATTCAAAAGGTTTCCCTCCCTGGTTTTTTTGCAAGAAGCGAGTTCTCCACTGATAGTGGAACCGAGTGTTGTTTTTATTGTAAACGGCGATATACCGCTTAGCGATCCATTGTCGGTTCGGGCGATAACGAGGTATTTACCCTCTGGGTCAGGGGGTCTCTTTCAGGAGGGGTCTAGCATTATTTTGCTTTCCCGATGAGCGATCAAGTCTATATATATATATATATGTATGTATATACTAGCTACCCTCTCCGGCTTATGGCGCGGGTATTAAAGTTTAAATAATAAAGGTTTATCACCAATAAAATATAATAAAATTTATATTTTTTTAATTTATCAACGATTAACAAATTTAATTTACATATATCAGTAAAATTCAATCCGAGGCTTCTTAGAGGATAAGTCAGAAATAATCGGGCAGTCTCGTTTTGGATTGACTCCGCGATCGGAAAGATAAGTCTTGTATTAAAATTTATAAGTCTTGTATTAAAAAGTGATTTGTATTAAAGTTTAAATAATAAAGGTTTATCACCAATAAAATATAAATTTCATTATATACCTAAATAATATAAATTTTATTATATTTTATTGGTGATAAACCTTAATTTATTATATTAAAAAAAAAAAACAATTATCCAAGATCACATTTTAGTATTCATCTCCAATATTAGTGCTTCAATCTGAAGTAAAGATACATTTTACAAAATTTTAAATAAGTTTGGTTATGTTACTTACTATAGAATGTGGATTCGGAAAAAAATGGTTAGTTTCTCATTAATCTGGCACACTTTGGTTAATAGTTTCTCATTTACAACTTTTTGCAACACTTTGCCATGCAAAAGTACTGATCCACGAAACACAACTACACTTGTTAAGCTCGTTCTAAAAATACACATAAACAAAACACGGAACAATTGGAAAAAAAACACATAAAACGACACAAACATTGGTAAACTTTAGTTTTGGATACCTGGACAAACGTTTTCCAATTTATTCACTTAAATTTTTCGTAAACTTTTGCCACAACAAACGATCAAAGTTGCACAATTTTTTGCGCCAATTTCATGCAAAACAGGTGGTACATAATTAGCTGACTTTAACAGCTCGCCAGCAGAACAGAGTTGTTCCATATATTAAAGTTACATATTTTTTTTATCTGTCTAGGGTGTTTAAAAATAAAAAAAAAAAAAAATTTAAGATACAAACAAAAAAAAAATTGACTTTATGCCAAAAAAAAAACGCGAAAAAAACCATAGTGCAAAGTAAGGGAATGTTGTCAGGGTTGGACCGTTGTCAGGCTTGGGCCATCTCAATATTTTGGATATTTGTTCTAGTGCCATCCGTTTGTGGGTGTCTAGAAACTTTCCACGTGACTACTTATTTCGGGATTTCATTTTTCTACGTGTCGTTGTTCTGAGAAAAAAAGTTTTTTTAACCTGGCCGAAAAGGTGGAATAACACAAGATTACAACATGTCATCCGCAAAGAGAGCATAAAAATACGTTATATAGTTGTTATATTACAAAATACTAAGATATAATTTCATTGATAGATATAGTTTGGCTATATCATACCATAATAGATTAATACCGCATGTCGTCAGGGTTGGGCCACTTTTGTAGTCAGGCTTGGGCCATCATAATTTTTACATTTTATTCGTGTATTTTCGATTTTTGTTGTAATATTTAAGTTTTTGTAGCAAAAATATGCAAAATAAATTAAATAGATTTCCTTAAAAAAATATTTTGATGTTGAATCATTTTTATCTTTTTCTTTAGTGTTTCTCGCTACAAACGAAAAACAACTCAGAATAATTTGATATTTACTGTAAAATCCCAAATAATTAAAAAATGAACAAAATAATGTCAGATTTACCTGAATTCAATTTTATTCCACCACGCTACGATATTGTCAACGATTTTCTAAAGGTGGCCCAACCCTGACTACATTTTTTTTTTTTCAAACGCCTATAACTTTTTTTGTTTTTATTTTTTTATTCTCTATTTTTGGTGAACACTTTCTCTTGCTTGTACCTTTCCAA